ACATGGGCCATATAGGTAGTTAAGTGTGTGGTAAAAAAACGAGTATGTACCTCAAAAAACTGTGGCTTGCCTACGGTTAAGCGTGGCAAGTTGTGCAAAATATTGTGTCTATGACACATGGGCCATATAGGTAGTTAAGTGCGTGGCAATGAAAAGAGTATGTACCTCAAAAAATTGTGGCTCCTATGGTTAAGTATGGCAAGTTGTGCAAAAGATTGTGTCTATGACACATAGGCCATATAGATAGTTATGTGTGGCAAAAAACAAGTATGTACCTCAAAAAACTATGGCTTGCCTATGGTTAAGCATGGCAAGTTGTGACTGGGAACCAAACAACCCCTAAGATTGGCAAGTAGTTGCCACTACACTGCATATTCTCTCTCTTGATTTAACAATTTTCTATTAAAAAAAGATAGCAAATGAACTAAATGAAACACATTTGCAGAATCACTGGAATATCCATAAACTACAATTTCAACATTTACTGTTAATGTTCATCTTATAATATGTTCAATTATCTAGATGCAAATTGCACTACTAATTTGACGATTTTCCATCTAAACTTATGGAATGGGATGTGCTAATTAATTGCAAGTACTACAACCTTCTAGATATCATAAGGTACATGGGGTAGATCGTCAATATTTAATGTAGCTAAGGTAATTTATTTAGTTGAAACATCCTTCAGGTGCTGCAAAAGGATTTTGCTTCGTCCATCCTATGGTTAAATACTACAGAAAATTTGCAGTGCATACAATAGGAACGTTAAAGCTTAAAACCATGAGCAAGTTGAATTGGCATACCTCTATGAAACTTGGGCTCATACTAACTGCAGAAGCCAACTCCACTGTATGTCCCAAATTAAAAGTTACACAGTTCTGCAAAGACGAACCAAGTAGATCAACTGGTATTTTACCCCAGAAACATTTCCCTTCAAGCTCTGACAAAATGCATCACAAACATGATAGTAAATAACTGCACTCAACAACACTACAAATCATAAGTGGTTTCTGAGATTCAATTTTGTTCTTTACACTTCATTTCAGAAGGCACATGTGCTAGCTATACTAGCCAGTATGGGTGACTGACAATAACTATACCATAAAAGGAGATAAAATAATCTAAACTAATGGCATACATGGCCTAGTAGCCCCTTGTCAAAAACCGATAATTACTTTTCATTTGATTCTCCTAACCACAGTAAAGTCTGTAAACATAGCCAGATCTTGCTCACCTACACTTTGTTAAGTAGTTATCTATGGATTAAAGGAATGTTTGTTAACTATTTTTGATTTCCAACGACTGAAATACTAATCTTCCATGCAAGAGAAGGTCTGGTAAGTTGTTGTTAGCTGTGAGATAGGTGGTTGCAAGAGTTGGATTGGTTTGGCCAAGAATATTGGGCGTGAACTAGCTTAGCATACTAGGAGATAAACATAGTTTGATCACTGGTCTTCATTCTTGTCAAGAATTGGGCATTTGAGAATACAATTGTATCGAAATGTCTTACTTACTACTCCCTCTGTAAACTAATATAAGAGTGTTTAGATCACTACTTAGTGATCTATAAACGCTCTTATATTAGTTTACGGAGGGAGTAAGTTTTAACATATTGTGTTAAACAACAGTAAGCATGCGCTTATTCTAGTAACTGTTAGTATTTTTTCACAAAATAACAACCACAAATTTACTTTGGGGAGCAGAGCCTTCCACATGGTCCACAGAGCCCTTATTTTCACCAAGATTTTCCCCAACTTGCCCTTCCGAGACTAAAAAGGGAACCAAATGTGATGGTGGTGAAGAAATGTAAAACCATAAACATCACATATGAAGCACATCATACCACAGCTGATAAGGATAATGCTAAGGTTGCAAGATCGGGAGGTTGATAAATTCTTGATGTTTGGAGTTATGAATGTAGCTTTGGTGCGACCTTTATTACCAAATTCACTAAAAGCTGTAAGCAAACAAGCCCGACTGAATCGATATATCGGAGAATGCTGCAAAACATTATGCATTAGTGAGATAAGAGATCATTTGGTACAAAATGTTGCATGTGTGGAACTAAAAAAAGGCAGACTTACCCCTTCAAGCGAAATATTATTGGTAGGTGTAGCCAACAGAACATAAAGAGGAAAGATATTCTGTTCTGGCAACTCAGTATTTGTACTTCGAGATAGTGATACTGTTATCTGAATCCTACATCCATAGCACAAACACTGATCAGTATTTACACGATGAATAGACAATTAAATCCAAAAGTGGCTAGTACATAGTTTGACAGACAGTACACCTGAAAACTTAATCACTTGGGCCTTGTTTGGCCAAGCTACCGTTTCAGCTTCTACTAGGGTGCATAGATAAAAAAGGCGCACTTAAGCGCGCCTAGGCTCTAGGTGTTGGCAAAACGCATTGCGCATAACTACGCTTAATCTGTGCATAACTGTGCGCTTTGGTCAATAAAGCGCAAGGCGGTGGCAAATCACAAAATTAACGCCTAGCGCTTGTTTGAACTATGCTAGGGTGTGCTTGGTTTTGGGGCATGGGGTGGAATGTCACATGTTGGTTCTGCACCTGGCAGTGGTTCTTGTGTTTGGTTTGAGAAGAAACTGGAACAGACTGATTCCCAACAAGTGGATATACCCCTCCGATGCCAAACCAACAGATTCCTCCAAATCGGTGGAATCACTTGGTTCCTCGTCTATTAGCGATAAAAATACAAATAAAATGAGATCATCTCACTGCCATGTCTCTCGCACCCTCGTACCTCACCCCCTCGATCTGTGGAGGAGCACCACCCAGGGCCACAGCGGCAGGCCGCAGTCATTCTCCGGTGGGAGGAGGCACAAGCCGCTGAGAATCTCGAACGGAGCCTGAGGCCACCATCGCTCTCAGATTCCTACACAGAGAGCTGAGGCGGGCCTAGGAGTGGTGCTTTCCATCACAGGCGACTATCAAAACTCTCTTGACGGCTTACCAGAGCGGGACGGTGGTGGTTTCGAGCTGTTGGGCGGACGAATTTGTCGAGGGCCATGAGAAAAGGTAGCGAATTGTTAAAGCCCGGGCACACCGAACTAAAGTACTTCACTTTGCTCTACGATGAACCATACTATTTTTGCGAATACCAAGAGCCAGACTTGGATAAACATCATGTGTATAGTACACACACTAAAGTTCCATAGATCACAAATGTACCAAATGTGTAATACAATATATAGTACCGCCTCTGTTTCAAATACCAGGCGGATTAAGTTTCAGTAGAATAAACATTTGACCAGGAATTAAACTATTACTATGTAACAATTGTGCTACAAAAATATAACCACAAATTTATGCTTTAGAAGATGAGTATAATGATATCAATTTCAGTCCACAAAATTGTACTTTAGAAGATGGGTCTAATGTAATGCTCATGCTAGGATCACACTGTGCGTGAGTGTGTGACCCCTCCGACATGACCTATCTGGAAAAATATCCTAACCCTAACAGAGAGCGCCTCACTCATGTGTATCGCATGTAGGAAAACCCTTGGCAAGATCCCAGTCATGCCATGTCACCGCCAGCATGCCGTTCTTTTGCCTGCCATACCCTGGTTCGATTGGACTAAAATTGATCCGCTTTGCCAAATTAAGGGAGGCAGATGCATGATTTGCAGGGTGGCATGCCTAAGTATCCACTTGCCAAGTTTATCGACTTCTGATGCATTTCTCTTCTACTCACTAAAACCACGACGAGTAATTTGGAACGGAGGGAGTAGTTTTTATGATCATGTATGTGCTAACTGTTGCATAGCCAACCTAGGCAATGACATTCGGAAGGGAAATTATCAATCCAATTAGTTTCCAAATGACTAAATAAGCATTAAGAATAATGAAAAAAATCATACTACGTTCTTCAAATTATTGGGTGGAGTAGGATCTATGGTTTGATACTACTGTGTTCAAAGCATTTCCAATTTGATTCAACCCTAATTGTAACAACCTTATGTACGTGGTTCCAAGAGAGCTAAAGGAATGAGCAAAGTACATAATAGTGAAGTCTCTGCAATTCACAAATAAAAAATAGTGAAGTGTCCGCTATGTAAAAAAGAAAATACGTTTTGAAACAGGACAGTCCTTCCTTTTTCTCGACATATTGGATTTGGATCGCAACAATTCTGAGTGTCAGCATGTTCTGCAATAGAGTCAAAGTGTGTACCTCCTTTTTCGGCTTGCATGTATCTTGTAATGAAGGCATCTTTGCAAAAAAAGTGGGCTGTAAAAGTCAGTGAGAGATCATTGGTGTCTCAAATCACTTGCACATGATGGTTATGTGATAAACACATGTGATTCATGTCAAATGAAGCTGCAAAATTAAGATGGGACTTACATTTCTAATGGCTCGCCGCTGAATGATATTGTATAGCTCAACTGGCTTGCAGTACAACACGAAACTTTCTTCAGCAGCAAGCTGCTTATCTGGAGATAATCGAGCTCTCAGCTGTTGCTGTCGCATCTGGTCTGCAGACTGAGGGTAACTGAATTCACACTCAGCGTCCCTGCATGTATGCAGCACCAACATCAAAAGAAGAAGATACATTCATCTCATCTCACTATTAAGATCAAGAAAAACATCTACCATATATACATGAGTGCATATCTGCAAAGCAGCTGAACAATTACAGAACAACTAAGCTACTTTTCAGAATCTAGATACAACCAAGGTGGGCCACACAGATTTCCAGTGATTAATTCTTAGAAATAAAAATGGCCAACTACTAGTTTCCAGGTGCAACCAGCCGACATAGGTTACCAACCAGGGATGAGTCAATAGACAATACTCATTTATTAATTTCCAAATGCAACCAAGGTAAGCTCTGAACATTGTACCTATTTTATTTTTTTCTCCAGGGTTGCCCACACAGACATGACCAGGCAAATTCGACACAACTCATGTAACAAGTAGCACAAGTATAGCATAAGCACAGCAACAAAAAAATAGGTTAGGGGGGAGAGGCGTACGCTGCGTCCCGGGCAGGTAAAGGTAGGCCAGGCATCCTCATCGCTGCCGCCGAGCGCCTCAGGGTCGCGGACGGGCGGATTTAACAAGGGGCATCAACCGGCAGGGACTGGTCTAGATGGTGCGCCGGCACACCAGAAATTTATAGAGGTTAAAATTAGTTAGGGTTCGATTTGAGTGATAATAATCACTGGATGACAGAAATCGCGGTCATACCTCAAAGACCGATGTCGAAGCTCGCGGACGGGGTGGAGAGAGCAGGGACAGCGATGGCGGCGGCGTCCAGGCGCGTGAGTGGCAGCAACGTTCCAGTCGTGAGGCGTCGGCAACGGCCCGGCGGCGGAGAGAGATTTAGAGCGCCGGAAGGGAGCACCAGACGAAGAAGAAATTGGTTTTTTCCTTTTCCTCTTTAATTTATCAACTACCTCCGAGCCTCCGCGTCAATTCGAGACTTTGAGCCGTCCGATCATAATCGTGAACGTATCGGAAGCATTTGCTTTTTTCCGAACCTCCACGTCGATTCGAGACTTTGAGCCGTCCGATCATAACCGTGGACGCATCGGAAGGATCTACTTTGCCGAGCCTCCACGTCGATGTGAGAAATTGGGCCGTTCGATCGTAATCGTGAACGTACCAGAAGCATTTGTTTTTCCACAAGGCGTTTCTTTCCTTATTCGTGTCATTTCACATTAGATGTTAGCTGACTGGCCCAACTTATCATCGTTGTTACTCTACAAAATGATCCAGAGGCCCTATAGTGAACCAGCCCAACACGCCGTGGGCCTCACACCACATAACCACAGAGTGACACAGCCCTGTGACCGCTTCTAAGATTCTTCCGGCCCGACGAGTGCCCACGGTGATGTTTCCGCACCGAACCGCATCATCTGCTAGCAGCGTTGTATCCATGGTGATGGGGCTCCTAGTTCATGCGTTTACTTCCTTCTTCTGCCGCCATTAATGCAAGATGGTAGTGGTCTGGATCCACTGGAGCCCACCCACCTTGTTCATCGTCTTGCCTGACCCGATGCTCGCCCGCGAATATGCAAAACTTGTGTATGTTGATAGTTAGCAAATGCGCAAATCCACGTACACAGAAGACGACATGATGTGATCACATGAGCAGAACAAAAGGGGATGCTCGGCCCCACAAAAGAATAGCTACCTGCTTGGTGGTAGGATGGTATCTGAACCCTTGGCTTCCCAAAGATGCACATCCTCTTGAATGGTTAGGATCAGGTGCCTCACAAAGGGCGCTTGTCATGGAAGTTGTACTTGTTCCTGAGCTTGCAAAGCTAGCAGACCGTGAGCACAAGATCAGTGGCGGAGCTAGGATTCGAGTATAGGGGGGGCCGAGTACGTATATTGATCTAATCTCATTGGTAATTACTCGTTGCTCCTACTAAAACTGTCGATCATTGGAGGGGGGCCAGGCCCCTGCTCGTCCCCCCTGGCTCCGCCCCTGCACCAGATGGAGGCAAATACCTTGCAAAGGACATCCGACGTCTGATGAAGGGAGCCCGCCCACCACAGCCTGAAGGGGGAAGTCTTGGCTAGGCACAACAATAGTGGATCTGCACCATGAGAAGATTTCATGTCATAGCTACCTGGAGAAAGAGCATCCAGCCAACAGAGGTTGCATGCTCTCTAGCTCATGGTCCCAAAGGGCAGAGTAGTCCGCACGCGGCAGACCTCGTCGAGCCAGGCGGTCGGCCGTCCAACACCTATTCTGGAGGGAGAGCCAGAGGAAAATCTTGATGTGCAAGTGTGCAACAACACCCATGTTTTCCGGGTGAGACGTCGGTGGGGATTCGCGACAGAGCTCAAGAAAAGTGCCGCATCACAAGACTTGGTGGCGTATTGACTTGAATCCATCCACCGGCGGCAGAGCTCTGTGTGTGTGAGAGAGATAAAGAGAGAGTGAGGAAGGCCGAAGATGGTGTCATAGGTCGGACCATGGCCGCAGTACCAAGGTCACCGTGAATGCCTTCGAATCACCAACAACAATGCAAGCCCACGTGGAACAAGCAGAGCTTCCTCCGTTTCTTTTTAGACTACATATAAGATTTGGTCAAAATCAAATTTTACAAAGTTTAGCTAATTTTATAGAAAAACATATCAACGTCTACAATACTAAAGTTATATGTTATGGAAAATAATTTCATCATGCATCAAATAATATCGATTTCATAATGTTAATGTCGATATCTTTTCCTACAAAGCTAGTCAAATTTTACAAAGTTTGACTTTAACCAAATCTTATATGCAAACTAAAAAGAAACGGAGGGAGTAAATGAGAAGTGTGATCTCAGGGTTTGACTTCCCATTGATCCAGTGATCGGTCCGGGACCGAAAGGAGCTCCCGTCCCTAACAGGCCACAAAGTGAAGGCGCGGAAGATGGGACCAAGACCGGAGTCGAAACCCTGCGATGCCAAGCTTGAGAAGGATACACGGCCCCTCGAGATCGTGGAGGATGCTAAGGAATTGCTAAATTATGTATACATTTTTTCATTCACTGTGCAGCCTTACCTGAGGAAATAACTCAACCACGTCAGATGAAAAGTAAAACGAAAACATAGTGACATTCGTGAGTTTGCGACCTAGTTTGTAGCTTATGTATATTCTTGTCGACAATGGCATCAAACGTCAAGATGGCCGAGTTGGTCTAAGGCGCCAGTTTCAGGTACTGGTCCGAAAGGGCGTGGGTTAAAATCCCGCTCTTGACATTTTTTTTGTTTTTTTCTTAATTTTCTTGTTTAAATAGTCCATTCGTGTTCTATCTTTTTTTAGGGGCATCCCTTTTCTATCTGAAAATACGTCCCACAGGTGTAGGAAGAAAGCTGCTTTTTTTTTGAACATTAGGAAGAAAGCTGCTGAACAGGTCAAATGAAGGATACACTCTGATCTCGCTACCATGGAACTGTTAGCAAACGACTATTTTCATAATATTTTTTCGGCTGATACTTCTCTTGATGCTTCACCCGTTTTAGATCTTTTGGATTCAAGGGTTACGGCTGCTGATAATGTCAAGCTGTGCAAGGACTTTTCTGACAAAGAGATAGCGGATGCACTGTTTCAGATTGGCCGCTTAAGGCGCCGGGTCCAGATGGCCTCCCGGCTAGATTCTTTCAGCGCAATTGGAGCACGCTTGAGGATGGGGTTTTGAAGGTAGTGAAGGATTTTTTCCACACAGGAGTTATGCCGGAGGGGGTCAACTCTACATCCATTGTGCTCATACCTAAAATCTCAAACCCAACCAAGATTTCGGACTACAGACCTATAAGCCTTTGTAACGTTATTTATAAGGTTATATCGAAGTGTTTGGTTAATAGGTTGAGACCCCTTTTGGACGATCTTATTTCACCGGAGCAAAGTGCTTTTATTCCTGGTAGGTTGATCACGGATAATGCTCTTGTGGCCTTTGAGTGCATCCACTATATCAAACAAGAGAAGGATCCAACAAAGAGCTTTTGCGCGTATAAGCTGGATCTGTCTAAGGCTTATGACAGGGTTGATTGGGTCTTCTTGAGGCAAGTGATGCAAAAGATGGGTTTCTCTCAGCGATGGGTTGACTGGATTAAGGTTTGTGTCACGTCGGTGAGATACTCGGTGAATTTCAATGGAACTCTCTTGGATTCGTTTGCACCATCGCGTGGGCTTCGGCAAGGAGACCCTTTATCGCCATTCTTATTTTTGCTGGTGGCAGATGGACTTTCAGCTCTTCTGAGGAAGAATGTTGAGTCGGGAGATATTACTCCAGGGAAAGTGTGTAGAGGTGGCCCAGGTATATCACACTTATTATTCGCGGATGATACACTTTTGTTTTTTGAGGCTTCTAAAATCCAGGCGGAGAAGGTTAAAGCAATATTGGACGTTTATGGCGCGGCTATAGGACAGAGCCTTAACTATGATAAGTGCTCCATACTTTTTGGGGATGCTTGCCCCGGTACAGTCCAGGAGGAAGTTAGAGCAGCGTTACTGGTTACTAGCCAGTTCTTTGAGGACAAGTGCCTGGGATTACCGACACCGGAGGGCAGGATGTCCAAAGGACGCTTCCAGAACCTGCAGACTCGGCTGACAAAACGATTGATACAATGGGGGGATGGTCAGCTGGCCCAACCGGGACGTGAGGTGTTGATTAAGTCTGTAGCTCAGGCGCTGCCTACATACATAATGGGAGTCTTCAAAGTACCTTTCTCAGTGTGTGATGATCTAACTCGTATGGTCAGAAATTTTTATTGGGGTTCGGCGGAAGGCAAAAGAAGAGTCCATTGGCGCAGATGGGATTTATTGATGCAACCCAAGGCGAAGGGAGGAGTGGGTTTCCGAGATTTTCGGATGTTTAATCAAGCTTTACTAGCTCGCCAGGCATGGAGACTTATAACTAAACCTGACAGCTTGTGTGCTCAAGTTTTGAAAGCGAGGTATTACCCGCTGGGCAGGCTGGATGACATAGTTTTCACGGGTAACGCGTCGTCATCATGGAAGCTATCAGTTATGGCTTGGATCTTTTGAAGAAGGGGTTAGTTTGGAGAGTGGGCAATGGCAGGAGTATACGTGTTTGGAGGGATAACTGGATCCCGAGGCCCTTTTCTTATAAACCGATCTCCCCACAGGGAAGGTGTCGCATTCGATTCGTGTCTGACTTGCTAAATCAGAACGGTGCATGGAACTATGAGTTGTTGAATGAGTATTTTGTCAATGCGGATGTACAAGAGATCATGAAGATCAGACCATCTCCGAGGCTAGAGGACGATGTTATAGCGTGGGGACCAGGTAAACATGGTGTGTTTACGGTGAAATCGGCTTATAACCTGGCTTTTGAAGAAGCGCACAGGGCCACGAGTGTTTCTTCCAGCTCGACACCTTCAGGCCACAGGAAGTGTTGGGACTTTGTTTGGAAAAGCTGGGCGCCGCCATCGGTCCGCAACTTTGCCTGGAGACTAGCCACGAATTCACTCCCTACTTGGCAAAGGAAACACAAAATCGGACTAGAGATTTTGAGCATCTGTCCGGTTTGTGGAATGGAGGAAGAAGATAAT